AGATTGAGTGCAGGTCAGGGAGCTCGGAGCGGATGGTGCGCTCAGCTGACCGCACAACCCTCTGTAGAGCTCGTCTGTCCTGCATGGTGCTGTTCCCGAACCAGGTTAAGATGTTTCCCGCCAGGATGCTCTCTATGGTGCACGAGTAAAAGTTCCTGAGCACCTTGGAGGGCAGTTGGAAGTCTCTCAAGCGTCTGAGGTGGTAGAGACGCTGTCGGGCCTTTTTCACCACGGTGTTGATGTGACAGGACCATGACAGGTCCTGCGTGATGTGAACTCCGAGGTATTTGAAGCTGTCCACTCTCTCCACTGGGCACTCGTTGATGACGGGGGTCTGGTAGTTCCTCTCCTGCTTAGTGCTGAAGTCCACTATCAGCTCCTTTGTCTTACTGACGTTTAGAAGGAGGTTGTTCCTCTGGCACCAGTTCTCCAGATTCCTAATCTCCTTCAGGTAGGCCGTCTCGTTGTTATCAGAGATCAGGCCCACCACGACGGTGTCGTCAGCAAACTTGATGATGGTGGTGGAGCTGGTAGTGGCCACACAGTCATATGTGTACAAAGAGTACAGCAGGGGGCTCAGAACACACCCCTGGGGGGTTCCAGTGCTGAGAGTGGTGGAGGCTGGAAACTGGAAGTAGGACTGGGAGTTGAGCTTGACTCCATCCTCAATCCGAAAAGGCCCCACAAGCTCATCTTTGATGATACCAGCCCAAACCAGTACTCCACCTCCACCTTGCTGGCGTCTGAGTCGGACTGGAGCTCTCTGCCCTTTACCAATCCAGCCACGGGCCCATCCATCTGGCCCATCAAGACTCACTCTCATTTCATCAGTCCATAAAACCTTAGAAAAATCAGTCTTGAGATATTTCTTGGCCCAGTCTTGACGTTTCAGCATGTGTGTCTTGTTCAGTGGTGGTCGTCTTTCAGCCTTTCTTACCTTGGCCATGTCTCTGAGTATTGCACACCTTGTGCTTTTGGGCACTCCAGTGATGTTGCAGCTCTGAAATATGGCCAAACTGGTGGCAAGTGGCATCTTGGCAGCTGCATGCTTGACTTTTCTCAGTTCATGGGCAGTTATTTTGCGCCTTGGTTTTTCCACACGCTTCTTGCGACCCTGTTGACTATTTTGAATGAAACGCTTGATTGTTCGATGATCACGCTTCAGAAGCTTTGCAATTTTGAGACTGCTGCATCCCTCTGCAAGATATCTCACTATTTTTGACTTTTCTGAGCCTGTCAAGTCCTTCTTTTGACCCATTTTGCCAAAGGAAAGGACGTTGCCTAATAATTACGCACACCTGATATAGGGTGTTGATGTCATTAGACCACACCCCTTCTCATTACAGAGATGCACATCACCTAATATGCTTAATTGGTAGTAGGCTTTAGAGCCTATACAGCTTGGAGTAAGACAGCATGCATGAAGAGGATGATGTGGACAAAATACTCATTTGCCTAATAATTCTGCACTCCCTGTATGCCACTAACATGTCTGTTACACATTCCTACAAGAATGCTCAAAACCTCTTATCGTTATTTACTGCTTTAATTTTAAATATCTCTTTCAAGACAGAATTGAGGAATGGTTCATTTGAATATTTTTATTCAGAGTTTTAGAGTGAATCTTATCACAGAAACAGCAGTGAAGGTTACTAATGACCTTGTTATGCTCATCTTTGTGCTTGTCCTGTTGGACATCAGTCCAGTATTCAATACTACTGATCGCAATATCTTATTGCAAAGACTAGAACACACTTCATTGGTTTGAATAATTTGAATATGTGATATATTCCAATTTCTGCATGTAAATGGGGAGTCACACAAAAGGTTCATCTTTTTAATGTCTTTAAAACAAAATCAGCACACAGCACGTTTGACATCAGTTTTGTTTGATTTGAAGAAGGTGGGGGCAGGGCACTTCACTCACGTCTGTTAGACCTGTTTTATTTGACCCACACAAAATGTGACAAAATTGGAAACATGCCTGGATCAATCCACTTATCAGATACATCGAAAGATTGTGTACCAGTAAAGGTTCCCAAGGTTGTGCAGTCTGAAGCCGCATATAGATAGCTTCTTATTTGAAGCAGCAGCTTATAGGCAGACTGTGTACTTGTGCACCAGCACCTTTGCTGTGGCTATCACCCTGGTACAGACCGGAGAATATAATCTGAGGCTGTGCAACTGCCACGCCACATCTCACACTTATAGACAGGTTAAATAACAACAGGAAGTCCACCAAAAGATACAGCGGCTTGCTGTATGTGGCTGTGACTCAGGCAGCTGAAGACCTGATTCAAGATATAGATAGAAATACCGCACTGGTGTGAATGTTACCACAGAGTAAATGCAATAATGGACAGGTGAGGTCATATGCAAAAAATAGATAATGCTCATTTATACACAGAAGTCTCAATAGGAGTTTAATCTGAAAGATTAATGGTTTATTCCTGAGCTGCAGTTACATTTATGGTGGAAAATAAATAATGGATGAAAAATAATGACTGTAGTGAAAAAAAGAAACAATTAACCTATTCTGGTCCCCAAACAGACTTTGTGTATCTTTTACCACTATCTTAGATATGTTTTAATTGCTGTGACCACTAGAGGGCGATATCGGTACAACTAGTAAATATATAAGTTGTAATTAAAGAGCAATTTCTGGGGCTGGAAAATGAAACCAACTAGTAAAGAGCTAAAATCTGCAGTTCTTATGTCCTCTTAAATATGGCTCTAAAAGGAGTAATTTCCCCAAGACTACCTCATCTATTTAGACATTCTTAAGGCTTAAAATGATGGACTTGGTCACTTTGATTGACAGGTATGTCAGTGTAGGCAGCTCTGGCTTCTAGCTGACTGCTAGGCCTCACGTGACAGTACTAAACCCGACTTGTCCATGATGTTCATCTTGTTGGAACATTTTAAATATAATTATCCGATAAATAATATACTATAAAAAAAGTTGCCATCTTAACGCCTGAGCGTTTGCATTCTGTGGGTCACCACGTTGGGGTTTTAGCATCTGAGGTGAGAAAGCACTGTGTGTCATGGATATGCATCCGCAGCTATATTATTTATCGGATAATTATATTGAAAATGTTCCAACAAATGATATGAATCTACAATAAACATTGCATACATCATTTCCTGGATTGTTATACTTTATTATTATTATTATTATTATAAATTTTGTGTTGCAGCATCAGAAAAGTTGTCCAAACTCAAAAAACACTCATTACACCAGCGTTACACCTGCTCTGTCATAGCATACTGAAGACAGGTGGTTCTGCTGAGAAACAATTTTTTTTTTTATTTAGAAAAAAAAACCCCAAACAAGACAACAACAGACAAACAAGAGACAGATATTTGATGTGACAGACCTCACGATCTCAAAGTCAGCTTTGCTCAGACCACACCGTGTTATTGTTTCCTGTTGCTCATGATGTATATCTCACTCTCTCCTCAACTGCTGCAAACCTCCATCTAACTCTCAGCTTAAGAAACACTTGACAGTCTTTAATGTCCTGACTTATGTCCTTCAACATCAAAATTAATAAAGACAACAATATCATGTTCATCATATTTATTACAAGCTTAACTTTTAATCACAATACAGAAGCGATCTTATTTTTTTGGGACAGACACAACGTATCAACGCTATCTTAAAAAGTTGGTTGTGTTCAGGCTGTCTGGTTGCAGCATGGATAACACGAGTTTCTTATTTCTCCCCTGTTGCATGCCTCCTGGTTTTAATTGTTCCATGCAGATGAAGTGTTACATCCTGATGATCATCAGAGTCTAGATCAAGAGCTGAGTCATAAGAGTCAAACACGATTTCCCTTTATGAGATGCAACTAAACAACAGAGCTTAATAGCTCTCAGAAGAGGGCATTTAAGCTCATCATCATAAAGTTATTCTTGGCAACTACTGAAGCAGTTTTTCATGATTTCCTTTTAAACTAATCCTCCTGATGCCCTCACTGTCCGTTTACGCTAGCTTTCTGTTGATTGGCTGCCCGTCATAAACTGTAGATTTACCAACCAGACCTGTGTAGGTGAGATTAGTTATATCTGTGACATCAAACTGATGCAAGGGTTTAACGACTAAATTTATCTCTGAACAATCAGCCGTCTGTACTTATGACTCACAGGGGTTATTCGTACGTAAGACGACCTCATTATCTGAAACTTTGGCCATCTTTAATATGAACATACACAAATGTACCAGTATATGTGTGACAGATGGTAAGGAGATTTATGAAAGGTCTTCTTTAAAGATAAGCATTAATTTATTTCAAATGTCTGTGTTTGCTATGCTGTGTCACCTGTTTATTCACATCTCTACATTATTTGTTAAGATTCTTATTTCCACCTAAATGATAAAAAGTGCCCAATTTATTACTTACTACAGCCATTATCACATTAATACTTTGAATACTTTGTTGAATGTAGATATAAATGTTGCTAATAAAATCTGAGCACGTAGGTCAGACAAATAGGACTGCTTCTGTTTATGTATCTAAGGCAGAATATCTGAGAAGAAGTTTGCAGTAGAGCAGTTTGAATTCTTCACCAAACTGAACTGCCTGGGCTGAAACAAAAGAGACATAAATTCTTTGATAATAAAGAAAAAAAATTAGCAAAAGAAGAGAAGAATAATGAATAACATCAGTGATTTGTAGGTATTTCAGTTCCAGGACTTACAGAAGCTGCAGAGAAGTAAATCTCTTACATGAAGTTTGAAGATCGCCACAGTGTGTGGAACAGTGGTTGCTTGTTATGCTTGATTTCTCAGAGAAGTCGTGTATGTGTGAAATTAGGTTATAACAAATTCAGTTTGCTATTTGCTTAATTAGTAGAAATATCTTTTTAGTTTAAAAAAGAATATATATTTCATTTTACCTTTTACCTTATTACCTTAGAATAATACTTTAGAATAAAAATTTATACAAATTAATATTATTATATATTATTATAATAATTTACATGCAAATAGAAACTGAATTTTCAGATAGTGCTAAAAAAAGGTATTTTCTCAGTTACAGTTACAACTAGAAAGTTGTGAAAATGGCCCAAAATTGGGTTGCTCTTTCTTTCTTTTTGATAGTTAAAGCTTGAAAAGTGTAAATAATATTATCATTATTGTGTTATACAGTTATAATATAATAAAATATAATATAATCATGTTATATATTATAATCCTTGAGATATTCATGTTCGTCCGTTCAGTTCATCAGATTTTAATACTCAAAAAACAGGACTGAATATATGCATGTGTGTATGTGTCAAATCCCTCACGAGAGATCAGTGTGACAGCTTTCACTCTGTGCTGATCTTCCTGTTGTTTTTCAAGTGTTTCGTAGAAGCATACACCACATTTGTGTCCAGCTCACTCTGTGGTACAGGCCTTCTGATTTTAGCTTTGGGATGGAAATTCAGTGCTGCATAGTTCATGTCATCAGAGTCCACATTCTGTAAATGAAAATGTTCAAAGTCACTAATCCTGCACATTACTTGTTAACCTCTTAACATCCAGAAGGTCACAGGGAACCCTTCTGGTGTTGGGGTCCAGCTACTGAACTTTCATCATTAAAATGAAAGAGCTTTTGACAGAAAAACTGCAATGCCAAAATGAATATGTGAGACTTAATTTGGATTTTAGCATCCTGTAATTCCTTAAAATGTGCATATTCAAGCCTGGTATGGTCAGGCACGGCCTCCAACTGTTACCCTAAATGGGTTCAAGGCAGTTAAGTTTAATATCTTGCTTGGTGAGAATAAATCTTAAATAGATTACCTCACTCTGTTGTGGATTCTGTCCATCATCTTGAGCTAAATGACAGGAACAATCCATCCGTCAGTAATTCGCTTCTGCTTTTGTATTTGTAATTTAAATGAAATGAAATCATATAAATACCTGAGTGAAATTTCCTGATTTGGACAGCCAGACCAATGATGACCAGTAGAAGGAGAACAATTAAACTGCCCAGGATCACAGGCATCACATTTGTTAATCCATCAAACACATCTACAAAATGGACAATTTAAATAAAACTTTGTGTAATATACTGCCTATGACAGTAAAAAGTCATGCAAAATAACAAGATTTAAATGACAGAAAACATAATTACACTCTTACCTTGCACCTTTAAATATGTTCCACTTGAAATTACCGTCTTTTCATCATTGTACTCTCCACAGAAATACAAGCCAGAGTCAGATGAATCCAGATGTTTGATCTTGAGAAACAGCACAGAGGTGTTGGACGTCATGTTAAATTTGCCAGCTTGAAAACCATCTTGGAGTGAAGCATTTCCTTCAGCACTGACCATAGATGAGATTCTGCTCACGTTGGGTCTGTTGGTCATTTTGAACCAGGTTATGTGACCAGTATGTCTGCTAAAGTTGGAGCACTCCAGTGTGACTTCTTCACCAGCCTGAACCTCCACAGCATAAAACTGTGTGACTATGGAAGAGATCCAACCTGAACCAAACAACAAAATAAACTTCAAACTCCACCAAAACCAAACAATACCTATGAACTACACTGGCCATTCAGTGTCTCAAGATTCAGTTCTCTTGGATTACTCAACAAAATGTAATTCTTGTATGAGGAAAAAAAGTGATAGGTCTACTTACTGAAGGTGTAGAGTAAAACTGCAATCCACTTAAATTTCAGCATTGTGTGTATGACCACTGCAATGTTGCTAACTGAACTGTGCTCCAGTAAAAGTGATCTCTACATAAAGAGGCGGGCTGCTCTTTTATATGTACCGTTCCTCAGCCTGACGGTGCCACCAGATTTAGGAAAATGGTGCAAACCTAAAGCTTTAGGAAGAACAGAACATCAATATTTTATTGTTTGACAGCATTTCAGATAATGCTGGTTAATAGGATATATTTAATAGATGACTTATTTTAAAATACAGTCTTAGTCTTACAGTCTCAAGTTTAAAATACATCTACAAAAGCAGTCAGTCTGTATCATTTTGATATATTAGATATTTGTTGTCTTTACAATTAGATGTTTTAAATAAGACTTTGCGCTAGTGGTTACGCAGCTCTTTGAAAAGGTTTAACTCAGCATCAGACGTGTCAGTAATAATACGTGACAAAAATTCCTGATATCGAGCACTCGCTGAGGTTCTCTGTTGATTCTGTAACTGTTAACATTGCATGAAGCAGACTATTGGCCCCAAACTAAATAAAGTATTAATACTATAATCAAGTATCTTTTTTCATCATGCATGATTATATTATGTTAGCAAGGCTTAGTAGGTTCAAGTGCATCTCAGTGTGGAGCCTTTAGCTAGTGTGGGTTTGAAACGTACAGCCTGTGGAGGAGTAAACCCTTTGATATGAGGCTGTGCAAGTGTCACCTTGCTACAGCAGAGGGTAGTGATGTGAGTTTGTGTGAATAACAACGTGAGATTGATTTACCACGAAGACGTGTCCTGATCTAGATTTGTTTAGCATGCAGCAACACAAATGCTCTTCGAGTGAACCGACTGAATCAGCCCTGAATAAATTAGCAACTTAGTGAAGCTCCTTGTTGAGCACAATTGTCACATCAGCTGGTGCACTCATTGTTTACTTTTTCGAATCAACAGGTCCTTTTTGTCCAGTCTCACAAAATTTGGGCAAAAATGTATTTAATCAGCTTTAACTTGGAATGATTGTTGGTACCACAGTCACTGATCTCAAAATTATGAAACTGCTTATCATTGTTAATTTTTGCATAGCGGTGATTAGAGCTCACTCAGAATGATGTGACCAATGTAAAACATTTGGCGTCTGGGTCTGTCTGAGGGATTTATTTCCTCCTCTTGATGCTTTTTTTTTTTTTGCTGCTTCTCTTTTAAAGTCCTTTCAGAGACGCAGAGATCCAACCAAGTAGCTCATTTAATGATGGAAGTGATGTTTCAGTCACAACACATGTCGGTTCTTCAGCATTAGTTAATGTTTGTGTTTTGATACATCATAGCAGTTTCTTTAGTAGACAGATTACCTATAAACTATGTTCAGACATTCAGATGATGCATTCAGTCCACTGCATTGTGTTAAATAAATATTTTTATTGGAAATTAAACAAATACACTTCAAACATGCAGTATGAAAAATGTCTCAACATAATAAAATAACATAATATTAACATTTTTGTGCTGACTGTCAAGTCTACTACAGATAACAGCAGAAGCTGACCCAGAGTGCTTTAAACACAGATTTGCATCACAGGTCTCCAAACAGGCATTTTCACAATGAAACTGAAAGGCGTGTTTTGTTGTCTTAACTCTGGAAAGTAAAAGTCACAGAGATTCAGTTGTCATTGAAATGTCTTCAGATTTGGCAAACTGATGATCTCATCAGTCATGACAGACCAGCCTCCCCTACATAAGCTGCCTTTATAAGTTGGAAGTATTGGTACCACTATTGTTTCATTAGGAATAAGACACATTGGAATATTCTCATTGTTTAACATAAATGACAGAATGTTACATAAATGTTATATAAATTAGCTTATATACAAAACTGTAACTTTTGTGCACCACTACAACCCTGGTCCATAGCAACGAATCGTTGGCTGCCCTTGGAAGCCATCGCTAGATCCTCTTGTTTCAGGAAAACCAGGGCCACAGGTGTCCTCACGTCAGCGCCTCACGTCAATCAGGTCCCAAACCTTCAGACTCACAAACTGGCCCATGTGTGGATTACCTCTGGCAAAGTAGATCTGGGCCACAAAAGGGCCGTCATTTTTTGCGGTATGTGGGCCATGTGTAAGTTGTGTGCAGCCACGGGCCAGTTGCAGACACACTGCTGGACCTGTGCTGGCCCAGAACAGTTTCAGCTCTGGCCCCAGATGTCAGCCTAATGTGTACCTTAATCAAGCCAACTAATAACAACATGTGCCGGAACATAATAGCGCAAAAGTAGCATGACGAAACTTTATTCAGATAGTGAATGGACTGATGCTTATATAGCGCTTTTCTACTCTCATGGATTACTCATAGTGCTCTATACAACATGCCACATTCACCCAATCACACACTTTCTCTAAACTGAGTGCTTCCTAACTGCATTCACACTCTTGACATGCAGACTGGAGGAGCTAGAGATCGAACCACTAACCTTCCGATTAGTAGGTGACCTCCTCCTGAGCTAAAGCCTCCCAGTAGTAAACATGAGTAAACCCTCACAAGGTTTTGGATAAAGTGTACACTCATGCATAAACCCTTGCATTTGAAACGTTGGCTACCATAGCAGTATAGTGTTGCAACATGGCATTTGGGTCTTCTAACTAAAATAGGAAAATAGGAACATAAATAGTGCCATCACTGCCAAACCTGGCCCACATCTTTTTGACAGACACCCTCCATGACACCAGTCAGTCAGAAGTGCCAGCTTGATGCCGGATCTGGGCCAGACCTGTTTTCTATGAGCCTGGGCCACATAAACCACAATCAGGCCAGATGTGGCATGCCATCACATAAACAGTGCCATCATTGCCAGACCTGGCCCATATCTGGATGACATACCATTTACCAAAAATAACTGTACACCATCTGTGAATGTGCTATTGGATTAGTTTATCATTTTGGTACAACGTAAATAGATCTAACCGTAGTCTTCATCAAGTACCTATCTGAAATCTCCAGAGTTTTACAGCCATAGCTGTGATAACGGGGATGAGAACAACAGTCACAACAACCAGTTTCAGTTTCATTTGGCATGCTGGCATGCTGAATTTAGCACATCAGACTTACAATTATCTCCTCCCAGTCTGCCAGTCAGCAAGAGTTTGTGGGTCACATTCATAATGCAACTTTGTCTTCTGATTCTTCCAACACTGAAGACATAGCTCAAACCAAAGTTGTGGTAACATCTGCAAAGTCAGTTCATTTTTATTTTGGAACTATTTTTTTTAACCATGACAAACAAAACATGTCAGCTAACGGCTATTCAGAACTACGTGTCATGGTTCTGGGTCATTTGACCCACCATGTTGAGAGCGCGTTTTTGTGATTTATTTGTGTTGTAATGTAATTTCTGGTTTACGTTCTCTTGTTTGTTGGGTCCATTTTGTGCCTTTGTCTTTGTGTCTCCCTCTCTTGTAGTCTGTGTTTATGTGTCTGTATTGCTCCTCGCACTTCTGTGTCTTGGACAGGTCGTTGCATTTCTTTTCCTTTTTCTGTTCACATTTCCCTCCTTGTGTTTCATTCCATCTTTCCCCTTCCGTCATGTGCATTCATGTCTCCCTCTCCCACAGTGTCTCGTCTCCCTTAACTGTTTCTGTGTCTCCCTCTTTGTGTCTCCTCCCTTTGTCTCCCCGGTCTGTCTTGTGTCCATATGCGTTTCTTCCTTCCGGCCCCAGAGTCTGAACCAAAAGTTTGGTGCAGAAACCTGTGGTCGGGGCTGTGCAGAGCTTGCAGCAGGCTCTGGGTGCTGCGGCTGGAGCTCGCGTTGAGGGCTTAGCCATCTATTCCTGGGAACCGGAATGGGTGGAGGAACTGGCCAAACCCCATCCATTACCACCCGAAAAACAGGTATGGATGCAGGGAAAGGTTCAGGTCCTGGCCACTCTCACCCTAGGAGCAGGGGCAGGCGCAGGAGCTAGCTGGACACCAGCCACCCCCACCGAAGGAACAGATACGAGTGCAGGAGTGGACTGAGTGTCAGCTGCCTTTGCCCTGGGAACCGGTGTGGGTACAGGAGCCTGCTGGACACCGGCCACCCTCACGCAAGGATTTGGTACAGGCCCAGAGGTGGACTGGCCTCACCGTAGGAGCAGGCAACAATGGACACCAGCTGCCCCCACCTGAGGAACTGGTATGGATGCGGGGACACACTGGGCCCTAGCTGCTCTAGGAACCAGGACAGGGACCGGCTGGGCCCTGGCCACCATCACCTGAAGAACTGGAATGGGTACAAGGTGGCCCAAGCTGCTCTGCAAGCAGGAATGCAAACAGGAACAGGAGCAGGGACTGGCTGGGCCCTAGCCACACTCACCCAGGTGCACCCACAATGGGTGCAGTCGAAGGCAGGGTCCAAGTCACACGGCCAGCAGGAACAGGCTGAGCGACATGTCTTGATGCATGCTCAGTCATCCAGGTAAGTAAATCCATAAAAGTTGATTCTGTTCATCTGGACATGTTGTTTTCAGTGGGAGAAACGTTTCATCACTGATCCAAGTGACTTCTTCTGTCTGAGCTGACTGCAGGTTTCCCCAGACTTATAAACACAACATTTGCACAATGACTGAAACTAGCACCACTGAATGAACAGTGGGCTGTGAGGTCAGTTCCTTGATCATTAATATGCAAATTGCCATGGCCACTGATCAATGGCCGTGAGCACCATCCACAGAGAGTTGGGAAATGGCTGCATTTTAAGATGGGGAATAATGTACCCTTAGGCCTCCTCCTCGATTCAGAGATAGTTTTTCCCTTTTCATGTAAATGGCCTCCTTGACTCCGCGCTCAAACCAGCGTTCCTCCCTGTCCAGGGTGTACACATCCTCACCATTGAAAGAGTGTCCACTGGCCTGTAGGTGTAAATAGACTGGGAGTCCTGGCCTGACGAGTTAGCTCTTCAAACGTGTTTACCATTGAAACCGCTGAGAGGCTGAGAGACAGGTTCTGAAATAACCACAGGAGATCAGAAATGATCAGTTTCAGAAACATAATGATCTGTAATTAGAGTCTCAGAGGGCAGAATAGTGTTTATGGAAG